GATCTCAGCTCACTGCAAGCTCCGCCTCCCGGGTTCACGCCATTCTCCTGCCTCAGCCTCCCGAGTAGCTGGGACTACAGGCGCCCGCCACTGCGTCCGGCTAGTTTTTTGTATTTTTTAGTAGAGACGGGGTTTCACCGTTTTAGCCAGGATGGGAAAATTCTTTTCTATAAGAATGTTGAATATTGGCCCCCACTCTTTTCTGGCTTGTAGGGTTTCTGCTGAGAGATCTGCTGTTAGTCTGATGGGCTTCCCTTTGTGAGTAACCCGACCTTTTTCTCTGGCTTCCCTCAACATTCCTTCCTTCATTTCAACCTTGGTGAATCTGACAGTTATGTGTCTTGGGGTTGCTCTTCTTGAGGAGTATCTTTATGGTGTTCTCTGTATTTCCAAAATTTGAATTTTGGCTTGCCTTGCTAGGTTGGGGGAGTTCTCCTGGATAATATCCTGGAGAGTGTTTTCTAACTTGGTTCCATTCTACCCGTCACTTTTAGGTACACCAATCAAACATAGGTTTGGTCTTTTCACATAGTCCCATATTTCTTGAAGGCTTTGTTCATTTCTCTTCACTCTTTTTTCTCTAATCTTGTCTTCTCATTTTATTTCATTAATTTGATCTTCAATCACTGATATCCTTTCTTCTGGTTGATCGAATCGTCTATTGAAGCTTATGTATGCTTCACACAGTTCTCGTACTGTGGTTTTCAGCTCCATCAGGTCATTTAAGCTTTTCTTTACACTGGTTATTATAGTTAGCCATTCATCTAACCTTTTTTCAAGGTTTTTAGCTTCCTTGTGATGGGTTAGAATGGTTAGAACATGCTCCTTCAGCTCCAAGAAGTTTGTTATTACCAACCTTCTGAAGCCTACTTCTGTTAACTCATCAAACTCATTCTCCATCCAGTTTTGTTCCCTTGCTGGTGAAGAGTTGTGTTCCTTTGGAGGAGGAGAGGCATTCTGGTTTTTGGAATTTTCAGCCTTTCTGCTCTGGTTTCTCCCAATCTTTATGGTTTTATCTATCTTTGGTCTTTGATGTTGGTGACCTACAGGTGGAGTTTTGGTGTGGATGTCCTTTTTGTTGATGTTGATGCTGTTCCTTTCTTTTTGTTAGTTTTCCTTCTAACAGGCCCCTCAGCTGCAAGTCTGTTGGAGTTTGCTGGAGGTCCACTCCAGACCCTGTTTTCCTAGGTATCATCAGCAGAGGCTGCAGAATAGCAAATATTGCTGCCTGATCCTTCCTCTGAAAGCTTCATCCCAGAGGGGCGCCCACCTGAATGAGGTGTCCATTGGTCCCCACTGGGAGGTGTCTCCCAGTCAGGCTACATGGGGGTCAGGGACCCACTTGAGGAGGCAGTCTGTCCATTATCAGATCTTGAACACTGTGCTGGGAGAAGCACTGCTCTCTTCAGAGCTGTCAGGCAGGGACGTTTAAGTCTGCAGAAGCTGTCTGCTACCTTTTGTTCAGATACGCCCTGCCGCCAGAGTTAGAATCTAGAGAGGCAGTAGGCCTTACTGAACTGTGGTGGACACTGCCCAGTTCGAGCTTCCCTGCTGCTTTGTTTACACTGTGAGCATAGAACCTCAGCAGTGACAGACGCCCCTCCCCCTGCCAAGCTCCAGCATCCCAGGTCGATCTCAGACTGCTGCACTAGCTGCAAGTAAGGCTCCATGGGCATGGGACCCAACGAGCCAGGCATGGGAGGGAATCTACTGGTCTGCCAGTTGCAAAGACCATGGGAAAAATACAGTATTTGGGCAGAAGTGTGCAATTCCTCCAGGTACAGTCACTCATGGCTTCCCTTGGCTAGGAAAGGGAAATCCCCTGACCCCTTGCACTTCCCAGGTGAGGCGATGTCCTGCCCTGCTTCAGCTGGCCCTCCATGGGCTGCACCCACTGTCCAACCAGTCCCAATGAGATGAACCAAGTACCTCAGTTGGAAATGCGGAAATCACCCATCTTCTGCATCAATCTCACTGGGAGCTGTAGACTGGAGCTATTCCTATTCGGCCGTCTTGGAAGTGACCTTTTTCTTTTCTTTTTTAGAGACAAGGTCTCACTCTGTGGCCCAGGCTAGACTGCAGTGACACTATCATAGCTCACTATAACCTTGAACTTCCACCCTCACGTCATCCTCCAACTTGGCTCCCCAAAGTGCTGGGATTACATGTATGAGTCACCACACCTGGTCCCATTCATTCTTTTTTTTTTTTGAGATGGAGTCTAGCTCTGTTGCCCACACTGGAGTGCAGTGACCATCTCTGCTCACTGCAAACTCTGCCTCCTGAGTTCAAGCAATTCTCCTGCCCCAGCCTCCTGAGTAGCTGGATTTACAGGCATGCGCCACTGCGCCCCACTCATTTTTTGTATTTTTAGTAGAGACAGGGTTTCACCATGTTGGCCAGACTGGTCTCAAACTCCTGACTTCAGGTTATCCACCTGCCATGGCCTCCCAAAGTACTAGGATTACAGGCATGAGAAACCTCTCCTGACTGGTCCCATTCATTCTTTAAAGAATGCAACGAGGGCTCAGCAACTGGCTGGCATTGAGCTTGGTGCAGGTCATATAAGTGGGAACCACATAGATAAATACAAGTCCTGCCTTTTAGGAGCTTGCTTACATTATAATGAGGGAGGAAATACCTGGTAAACAGTCAAGTGCAAAAATGACTAATTGCACCTTTGAAAAGTTGTGTGTGGAGGCATGGAGTGGTAGGAGAGCACATCCTCTAAGTGGTTTTAATTTTAGATTCCTCTTTTGATTTGATCCCTAGAATTATTTCTTTTTCTTTTCTTTCTTTTTTTTTTTTTTCTGATACAGGGTCTTACTATGTCACCCAGCTGGAATGCAGTAGCACAACCTCAGCTCACTGCAACCGCCACCTCCTGGGTTCAAGGTGCCTCCCGAATAGCTGGGACTACAGCCACTGGTGCATGACCATGCCCAGCTAATTTTCACATTTTTAGTAGAGATGGAGTTTCCTCAAGATGGCCAGGCTGATCTCGAACTCCTGGCCTCAAGTGATCCACCAGCCTTGGCCTCCCAAAGTGTTGGGATTGCAGGTGTGAGCTACTGCTCCTGGCCCCTAGAATTATTTCAAGCCAGCAAAGATTTTGATGTTGTTACCCTTTCTTTCATATCCCATATCTAATCCATTAGGAAATCCTGATATCTCCATCTTCCGAAGGTATTTCAGATCCCAGGTCTACTGTCTTCCAAACTAGCATTGTTTACTTGGATTTGCGAAAAAGCCTCTAAACTTGTCTTTCTACTCTTAGTCTTGCCCCTATAGTCTGTTATCCAGATAGCGTTTAATGTGACACTTTTTGAAAGTGTATATCATAATTCATGTCACTCCTCTGCTCAAAACAAACAAACAAACAACAACAACAACAACAAAACGCTCAATGGCTTTCTGTTGCTATCAGAATATAATACAACATGACCCTGTCCATCAAGGTCTTACCTGCTTGCCACCTCACCTCTCTTACCTCCTACTCTACCACTGTCCTCTCCTACATCTTGTCACAGATTCTTTGGCTTTCTTTTGCTCTTTCAACCTCACTCTCCTGTCTCTTGACCTTTGAACTAAACCTCCTCCTGTAAATATTTAGAGTCTTGCTCCTCAGTTACATCAGATGTCTACTCCCATGTCTGCTATTGGAGAGGCAGTCCCTCACCACCCATTCTACAAATAGCCCCCTTTCTCAACCCCCTCATTCTTTGTCTCCTTAATTTACTTTAGTTTTCCTTTTAATACACAAGTTAACATGTGTATGTGCATTGTCTGCTCTTTTCCCCCTACAGTGAGAACAGCAACTTGGTTATAGTGCCAGGAACATAGAAAGCATTCAATAAATATTTGTTGAAAGTAACCATATCAATTATATTATAGAATGAAGTTTTGTGTTCCCACAAGATTCATGTGTTGAAACCCTGATCCCCAAATATGACTGTATTTGGGGATGGATAGGGCCTTTAAGGAAGTAACTGGGCCCTGATCTGATGGTATTAGTGTCCTTATGAGAAGAGACATCTGATAACTCACTACCTGTCTTCGTATGCATACACTGAGGAAAGGTGGTGTCAGCCGATACTGGGAAGGTGGCCACTTGCAAGCCAGGAAGGGAGCCCGAACTGAATCGGCTGACACCTTGATTTTGGACTTTCCAATCTCCAGAACCGTGAGAAACAGATTTCTGTCATGTAAGGCAACCAGTGTATGATGTTTTGTCATGGCAGCCCAAACAGACTAAGACAAATTACACAGAATATAGTACGAAAGAAACAAGGAGTTTAGATAGAATCTACACTCACACAGTGTCACGAATCATTTTAGGATCACTCCTGCAATTGAAAGGTGTAATGGTGTGACCTTTAACCAGTAAATAACCCTTTGCAGCCCTTCTCAGAATAATCGAGGCTTCAAGAATACTGTTATGTTAACCTGAGAGTACAGTAAGAGTTCAAGATGAACGAATACCTTTAACTGCTTTTTTTTGCTGTTTTTTTTTTACAGTCATGAATGGTTGAAGCTCACAGGAGAAATAATTATCTAGTTACAATATGGGAAAAAATGCTCTATGAAAGTTCCCAACTGATCACAATGTAGGAGTCACATGCAGCTGGGTGCCTAGAGCATAGCCATGACCTGTTGCTATTCAAGCAAAATATCAAATGCTTCCAATAACAGCTTCAGCTACCTACCACAACTGTTTATACTCTTGGTCTCCAAAGTAGGCCATGAGGAATAAATATTAGAGCTTCCACTTATTTTTTTTAATTAAAAAAGAAACTAAGCCTCTGCAAATGTGCAATAAACAGATAGAAATTGGCGCCGTTATTTGCCCAGAGGTCAGCTGGTCTCTTGTCCTCCCTTTCAGAGATATCTTGAGGAAACACTGGGAGAGTCACAGTATGGAGGGGCTACCGTGTGGTCTTTACACTTCTTTCATTTCCAGTGTGTTGCCTCTTGTTGATGTTTATGTGTGTTCTCTTCAGGCACTGAAGATTCTGTTATCCAATTTTAACCAAGTGGAAGTATCAGAATGGAAAAGTGGCTTACAGGGATTTCTGCAGAGAAGACAATACTAGCAATACAAGTGTAAGCAACAACAGGAAATTGATGGAGTTGACACATTTCCTACTGTATTCTTAGCCTAATGGAAGAGGTTAACAACAGTGATGATCTATCTAATTCAGACTTACAAGAAATCAGCTCCTCCCTTCCATTGAGATATAGGCTTACATTTACTTTTATTAATGATGAACCTTGCCTTGAATATATTTATTGTATTTTGAGATGTAGGCCAATGCCAATGATAATATGAAGCATTGTGGCAAGCAAAATATTAATAAATATATGTTTCATCATTAAATGATTTTTCAAATTAACTTGTATGTATGTTTTATAATGTACAATGGTGTGTGTAATAAATAAGTAATCTTATTAATAAGTTAACAAATAAATAAATATTGGGGACATATAATGAACATTTCTAATTGATGCAGTGCTTTATCAAAAAAGTTTGGAAACCACGGATTTACATATACAGGAATAAAATAATTTATTGGAACACAAAACCTTGGTCTTGAAGGAGAAGAACAAATAAATCCAACTTTTTTAAATTTATTTTTCCTTATTTTTGTGAGACAGAGTCTCATTCTGTTGACCAGGCTAGAGTGCAGTGGTGTGATGGCTCACTGTAACCTCTACCTCCCAGGTTCAAGAGAGTCTCATGCCTCAGCATCCTGAGCAGCTGGAACTACAGGCACAGCCAATTTTTGTGTTTTTAGTAGAAACATGGTTTCATCATGTTGGCCAGGCTGGTCTCGAACTCCTGGCCTCAAGTGATCTGCCCACCTCGGCCTCTCAAAGTTCTGGGATTACAGACGTGAGCCACTGTGCCCTGCCCAAATCTAACTTTTTAATTACAGAATATCTACTAAGGGTATGGATTATTCAGCACCCTTCTATATCTTTCTTCTCTCCTATGCCTTTTAATCATTTCTCAATTTCAAGAAAAATGAGAAGAGAATAAAGTTTGTTAATTTACCATGATATTTGAAGAGGAAATTTGATTTGCCAAATAAAAGAAGTTTGAGATCTAATTATGGGTTTTTCAGTTTTGATTTCTTATAGATGATAATAATATGACTTGAGATTCACCCATCTTCAAATTTGTTGATTTTTCTCTTACAATGGAAAGTACCCATAAGACTTGAGATTTGAAGTAATATTCAAACATGGTCAAATTCTTCTCACTGTTCTGTCTCACATATAAGAAAGTTTTGTCCTACTTTTTCAAGCTATCAAAAACTCCCTTCTTCATACTCTAAAATTTTACATGTTCATTGGCAGCATGAATTTTTACATTTTCATATTCAGCCACATGTATTGTATAACTATTGGTATAATATTTTAATTAGGACTGTCTAGTTCTAGTTTCTTAGCTGAGTATCATCATATTATAAAATTTTGAGGTTGGAGGGATCCTTGGCTACAGTTCATTGTGTGAATGAAGATGCTGAGTTTCAAGATGCCTAAGGGGCTTGCTCATGGTCAAACCACTAGATCCTGGCAGAACGGAGACCAGACATAAGTCTTCTGACTTCTCATTCTGCATATTTTCTACTGCGACATGCTACTGCAGAGTGAGCTTAATGAGAACGTTGTTTTTCTTGTCAGGTATGAGTTAGAGAAAGTGGGAAGCCTTCAGCTCTCTCAGGCAGCCCAGGGAATTCCAGTTCCCCAAATACCCCAACCCCAAATGGTGCCCATGAAGGAAAAGGAATCTCTCCTGGATATTTATTTATTTTACAACTAATAAAAAATGAGAGGAGACCTTATAGGTAATTTAATTTTTCTCCTTGAGTCTTAGAGATTAACTCACCGCTAAGCCACTGCCAGCTACTATTTTCCCAATTAGAACTTTAACCTTTGTAAAAAATGTTATTTTGATAAGATGGTCCTAGTGAAAAAAATGGGAATAAGAATATCAGTAAGACACAGGCATGTGGCATACTTTAAACTAGTTGGTAGGGATTATCGGTTACTGATTAGCAATAATACCTAATGGTTTGGTAGAAAATTTTTAAGGAGAGTGAATGGAAACTTAATTTACTGAGGTACTTAAAATACAACTAAATAAAATAGTGAAGAGTGTATTGTAGAGATAATCTAGTTGCCCAGATGGCCTTTCCATAGTTACAGTTTTTATTGTTCTCAAAATGTGTGTGTTCTTTATCCTTTTATGAAAAAATAAAGATTTTCTTTTTCCCAGGGGCATGAAGTTACCCTGCAGTTTAGTTGTTAAAATACACTGAATATTTTTTTTTGTTACTTCTAGGACACTCATATTTATTCTGGAAGTCACCTTAGTTCCTGTGTTTTCCCTCTATATTTGAATTTCTGGCTCCAGACTCCAGATTTTAAGCTTGTTAGTTATTTCTCATGATACTCCTCATAAACTAGTTAATATGAGATTTTATGCCATGGATTAAAGAAGAAAATTGTTAAGATTTGGTTGTAGTCTTATGTTTTTAACTTTGATACTTTTTTTTTCTCTCAACCTTGGAAGCTGCAGTAGGGTGGGGTATGTCTGAAAGGAATTTGGAAATTTATTTGTAGTTGCTACAAAGGTGACTTGTAAATTCTATAACCAAATTCCTATGGATTGTGAAAAGATTCATTTCATTTTCTTATGAACAAAGTCTCAGAGTTTAAAAAGTACGTATTTTTACAGCACTATGCCTTCTGAGTTTTATTACAAAAGAAAACATTGAATAGTAAAATGACATCTCTATAAAGTCTGTCCAGATGGATTTTGTACATGTGGGCACCATCTTTTTTCCTTCCATAAAAGAAGATAAGTCTTTGATTATAAGGATTCTGTGTGTTTTGCTTTCTCAATATGCAATGCCTAATAAATTTGGTTGTAATGTATTCATTTTCCACCTACAACATGCTTTGTGAGTAGAAACTGTAGACCCTGGAATTTATTGCAGGGGTTACCTGGAATTCTGAAACCATAATGTTAGAGTGCCAATATGAGAGCAAGTATTTGACCTTGAGAGGATATCCAAGCCTGAAGAGATGACAGCCAGAGATGTTAATATCATTAAATATTAGTAAATTAAAATCTGATGCTTCATCTCCCACATATTCCATTATTTCCTAGGATAGAACAGATTGCTGAGGGTACAAAAATCTATTGTTTTTTTAGGCTTTTTGTGCTTTGGTCTCTTTACCTTATGCTTTTATATCTTTCTTGCACCTCTCTCCATGATTAAAAAGGATGCATTACCTATACTTAAAAAAATTAGGTTACAATTATGCCACGTCCCTCCTTAAAATGTAGTTCCCATTGGACCTAGAATTAAATTCTCTTAGCATAGGTGGCAAGGCCCTGTAGGAGCAACTCTAACTCTGTCTACCTCTCTTATCACTAAGTTGGTGATACTAGATGACTTTTTATTTCTTGAAGATAGTTCGCTCAGTTTTGACCTTGCATCTGTAAACTTGTAATTCCCTCTGTCTGGAATGTTCAGAGCCCAAAATTTCAAATGACTGGTTCCTTCTCAATGTTCCTTTCCTCCCTACCCATTGAATGTGGCCACATACCCCTCCAGTCCTTCCACATCACTTTAATCTATTTTTAAAGGCCAATTTTGAAAATGGATTATTTATTTATTTTACATGTTATGACATAATCTTCATTAAAATGCAATTGCCAGGAAATTAAAGACCCTGTCTACATTTTCACATCTGTATAATCATTATTTAGCACAGAACCTAGAACATAGTAGGTGCTTGGTAAATACATATTTTTAATGAAAATATGGTTGCAGGGATGATATAAGTAGTAGTTAAAAGTATAGAATTGCCGTGATCAAATCCTGGTCTCTTGCCATTTAATTTTTCTCAAGTTCCTTCGTTGCCCCAATCACTATAAGATGGTAAAAATACTCATCAGTCAGGCTGCGGTGGATATTATTTTGAGGTGATGCATATTAAGTGTTCAGCACATGCCTAGCATATAGCAATTGTTCACTAAATAGTAGCTATAATAGTTTTTCTTCAAAAGAGGAGTAGAACAGGATGGGCATCAGGCCATGTACACTCAGAATCCTGAGGCATGCCAGGGCTTGAAAACCAGAGAACAAATTCTTTTCGATCAAGTTCAAAAGTGCCAACATCCAAAGTTCAGAATTTGGGTAGAGTAGGTGAGAGCAAGAAGCAAGGATGAAGGAAAGGCAGAACGCTGAAGACAGTGTTTGCTAGTGGGATTTAGTCCATTTTTATTGGCAGGATTGCACATGAGTAGCTCTATTTGGCTGAAAACTCCAGAAGCAAGGCTAGAAACTGATTCTCTATAAGTAAAACTTACATTACTTTGTTTGTTGATTTTTGAAACTATTTTGGATATTATATCTATCTTGCTCTAAATATCTAAGAAGAGCCTAATTTGATTATTCTGTAAGATAAACTATCTTCTTTTATACGTATGACTCTTCTCAATTTCATACTGAAATTTAGTGCTACATAAACCTTATTTGATCACTTGATGGTAGTTTGTTCTAAGTTATACAGGCACAGTGCTTAGGGCTATAGCAAAATAATGGACAAAAAAATGTCTTGTGAAAACAGTTTAATCTTTGATGGTTTAAAAAATAAGAAAGAGAAACAAGGAACAACAGCGTAGTTATAAGAAAAAACATCTAAACTTGGTTAGAATTCCTTACACATATTTATGACTTTGCTTTGCCATATTGAATTACATATAGATAGAGGGGTCAGGGCCAAACAAAATATCTCCGGGGCTTGGGCCTCCAAAGGCTTTAATTCAATCCTCTCTAGACACATTTTTATAAAACAGGATTGAAGATTTTAGATCTCAAATCTCAGGTCCCAGCTGCAAATTTTAAGTCTCCAACACTAAGCAACTCTTCCTTAAATGAAAACAAACAAACAAAACCAAATACCTACACATCCAAGTCTTTTCTGGAAAAGGAGCATATGCTGTGGGGAGGGATGTTTAAATTTTCTGGTTTTAATTTTTTAAACAACTCTCCAAAGTAGAGAAAATTTGAAGAATTAAAAAATTAAAAAGATTATATTCTAATCTCTGATGTCATTTTACAGTAGTTCCATTCAATATTCTTTTTATATGCATTTCTTTAATAGCCTAGTAGTAAGCAGAGTATCTGAGAAATTAACAGTTGTTTGGGCCCTGTATGTTTTTGAAGTTAGTTGTAATCAGGATAGATTAGGTTATTATGAGGTAACAAACAACTCCAATCTCTCAATGCCTTTACACAATAAAAGTTAATTTCTTCCTCATGCAGACCCAGGGGATTTGAGTGCTTCTTCAGTTGTCTTCCACAAGGTGACT